TAAAAGAGCAACTTTTCGCCAAAATCCGAATGGAATTGTTAAATTGCTTTCTAAAAAAAAAATTAGAGTTTTGAAAACCAATTGATTGTTTAAGTGTTATTGTGGCAAGGAAAGGCCTTGGTGACATGGCTGTGTCCAGTTCCGTCGGTAGCAATATTTTTGACGTATGCGTTGGGTATGTTAATCAGCATTTTAAATTTTGGAAATCTTATTAATAGAACTTTGAAAAGTAGGTTGGGGTTTAATTAAAATATGTTTACTCTTCGGATTGTTGTTCGAATCCGGAATAAGGATCGAAATTAAATCCCAAATTTGCATATGGATAACATGTACAGTGTAAAATTGATATGCATGGATGTGACCAGATATATTGTTTTTATATCCTGAGTTTTCTTTTGCAGGTTACCAATTCCTTGGTTATTATTTTTCATCGTTGAACCTCTTCGTAATCCTGGTACTACCCAGAATCACATTTCAGTTTCCAGGTAATGTTTCAACTTCTTGAAGAACTAATTCTTTTTTCCTTTTTTTTAAATCAGAAAACTTTTCGAATATAATATGTACTGGAAAAAACTAATGTGATACATCTTTCCGATGATCACTTCGAAAATGTGTCACAAAAAAAAGATTGACCTTTGAGACCTTTGCAGCAATGGCTTGATATGTAGTGTTGGGATGCTTTTCATCATGCTTATCGTACTTGTCGCATCAGTTGCTTTGTCACATTGGAAAATGAATAAAGTATTTGGAATTATTATGATTATATCATATATTGCATTTTGCATCTTTGCTGTTGCCCTTGAGATGGGTCATTTTACATGTCCACTTAAAATATGTTAATCTTTTAACCTATTTGATAAAAAAAAAGGGAGAAAAAAACGATCATATATGCAAAACATATACTAGAAAATGAGTGAAATTTATCGATATTAAATGGCGGTTTTTGACAGTTTTACATTAATATCCTATAAAAACCTGGCGCAATTATCTGCCAATCATTTGCATGTCGTTTATTTGTTAATTAAGGAAACATTGGTACTCTTAAAATTTATAAATAAACTTGAATTTCCACATATTGTTGTTTTTGGTAATTGTGCAGTTGTAGTAATGTAATTTGGATGGATAGTAAATTGTGAGTTTTACTTGTAGTTTGTTGTTTTTAATTGTTGTACAGAAAATGGATTAAATTTGATTTAAAAATTAATTTTAACTATGAGTGATACTAATTAAAGCAATTAATTTTGTGATATGAATGAAATAAACATAAGCAAAGCGACAGAATAAAAATCTTTAAAAATCTAAAGAAGATGCATGCAAAGTCAAACTTACATCACAAATTAAATTATGCAAATTTCATCAAAATCATGATGTTTTATTTGACAAAGTTTTCTGATACATGATTTGATTTTTGATTTCATGAAATATAGATTGGTTTAATAAACAAACTATTTTGATAACACTAAAAAAAGCCTTCTTTTTTGATTCATTAATCATATTTCACTTGATTGATGAAATATCGATTGATTGATTAAATAAGCAAATTATTTTGATAATACTAAAGAAAGCCTTTTTCTCAAACTATTCACATATTTTATCATTGGATCGATAACAATTTCAATAATTTTCTCATATTCCTTAAATAGTCTTTGATCTTTGAAATGTCAAATCAGTCCCTTAACACTAAAGATAAACTGTTTGATTGAATTATATGCTGCATAGCGAGGTCTTATTCGATTTATCCCAAGATATTGACGCTTATATCAAGTTAAATTATTCAAAAAGTAATTTGAGCCTGATCCGGTAAATTACCGCAAGGTTAAAATAATCAGTCAGTAGTTTGAGTCTGATCCGGTAAATTACCGAAAGTAATATTTTGGTGCTTCATTTGGCTAAATCTATTGTTAATTTGCATGAAACATTCTATCCGAAAGTTTAAACAAAACAAAAAACAAAAGAGAAAAAAAAAACTTCCAAACAAATAAAGTTTACTGAAAGAAATATGCGATTCTATATGAATATTACAGCTATTACAAAAATGTGAAATACTATACGGCCTTCATTTCAAGTAGCACATTAGAATTCCGGATAGTTTACTGAAAATTGATTCCAGAAAATATTAAGAAATCCAAAGTTATGTGATCTGCAGAACTTTGTTTCGATTTTAGTAAATTTTCAAACAAATAGAATATTTTAAAAATTAATGCCGATCGATTTTCGAATGCTTTCATTATTTTTTCAAGTTGAAAAGTAATCATTCAATCAATAAACTTGTCCTTTAACACTAGGTGTTACTTCAAAGGATTGCCGAAATGCATTAATGCATTTTTCCAAATGTCGCAATTTGTTCACTTTCGTAATTTTCAAATGAAAAAGACAATTACATGATAAATCCCAGATTTAAAAAGCATGAAATATGAAATTTACAAATCAAAAATGTATTTTCAAAGCTAATAAAACAATTATTAAACGAGAAATTTAATTTTGGAATTAATATAACTTGTAATTTATGCAAAGTTTTAAATCACACTTCAAAAATTGCCGAACATTTCAATGTTTCACAAAAGTTAATGAAATATTTCAAAATGGAAATAATCAAGTTGAGAAAGACAACATGGGCTGTTCTGATGGTATAGAAGAAGTAAAGAAGGGAAAAAAAAAGTTCTGACAAATGATGGAAAGAAAAGTTTGACGAGCTGAGTAGACGGCATAGTTCGGGAATGCGGGATAGGCCGGTATTTGAACATTTAACAACCTGAACTGGCCGATGTTAGGAATTTAAATGACATATCTAAGTCTACTAATACTTTATTCATTGCTCATCAAATAAGCAATTGTTAAGTTAATTACATCTTATTGTTTGAGCAGATTTAAAATTTTCTAAAAATGAAATTTTACTCCACAGTTCGTCGTCCTTATCGAGAATAGTGGACAGAAAAGTAAGGATGATTGAATTGTTGAGGGCTTAATTGAAACCGGAGATCGTGCGTACAGGAAAAACGTCTTTTATTTTTGTCTCTTCAAGTCGTTGAAGAAGATACGTTCGTGATAAAATGGGATAGATTAGAATAGGTAATACAATGGTAAGTTAAGTGACCTTTCAACTTTTAAGTAAATCGCAAATAACATTTCAGCTTTTATGTAAACTAGAAGAGTAGTATCATTCGTTTGGTTTTAAACTATCAATATCGATTTGCACATCAAATTCAAATCAAATAACATTAAGGAAATGCTGAAGTCCATAATTTTATTCTAGTTTTTGGTCTTCGGAAAGGATTTCGGAAAAAAGTCCGGAATTAGCAAACGGATCCCGAAATCCTACACAAACCACCCACCCACACCCATACACCTAAACTCACACAACCACATATCTATGTCAATGCTCATGCATACATACGGACATACAGACACACAGACACATACAGAAAGAAAGGAAGAGAGAGAGGGAGGGGGAGAGAGAAAGTATAAATACAAATTACATATCATCTTTCTTTGGTTGTTTAATGCAAATTTATCAAGAAAGGAAAATGTGAAATTGGAAAATTAACAGAATTCATACAAGACAAGGAAAACAAAAAATATTAGGAATGAGAATAAGACATAGCTTTTCGAAACAAACATCAGGGTCAAAGGTGACGAATTTTACTTCACCCGGATTGTTTGACACGAAACGGAAATTTTTGAAAATTCAAAAGTAAATTAACCTTCCAAGTTATTGTGTCAAGAAATACGTGAATACATCATAATATTCCATCTAGATAACAGATAGGCCTATAGTTAATTAAATATATGATCCTAGAATCAGGAGTAAAGAGAATGTAAATCGCAGATATTCTCCCATCATATATATTTATCCTATAAGATGACCTGATACAATTCACCGCGGTATCGGTGTTGTGCTGGTAACACATTGTTCATCGCGGAGTGTTCCGCTGCTTTCTTCGCTATCCAGATCAATTATGTGCAATTCGCTACCGGTTGATGGCCGACAACTTGTTGATTTCCAATGAGTTCGCAGGCCTGATGGAGAAATATACTTCTTACCTGCAAATATGATAAATAATTTTAAAACTGAAACAAATCGGTTAAATTTACTCGCAACATTTCCGTTTCCGTATAAACGGAATTTACCAAAGATACATATCAGGTGACCGATATCCGATATCTTAAATGAAATAATCAAAAACTGAAATACCACAACATGAACAATTGTACGGCCGTTCATTGGTATGTAAACGTTTGTGAAGTTTCAAATGGACAAATTGAGTGAATTTAGCACTACACAGATCGCATGGATAGGGTTTTTGACCATTGTGGAGACGTAAATGTGTCTTCAGATTTGACATACTGCTAAAGCGTTTTTGACAAACTTCACATTGATGCGGTTTTTCTCCTTAAAAATAAATTTAATTAAAATGATTAATTTAATTTTCAATCAATTATAGCTCATTTTAAATTTTTCAATTTCATACATTTGGCAAAATTTAGTGGACGAACATAAGTCGAAGAAATGTTTAAATATTAGAATTGTGAATAAACACAAATAGAAAATAAACTTAAACATTGTCATGAAAGAAGAGAAGTATAAATCAATGTCAGAATATCAAGCAATTTTATTAGCTAATGAGAAACAAGTAGTCTAAACTGGTTATAGTGTCAACGACAAATAAGTTAAAGGATGATACGACCAATAATATCATCCATCTTATCGGAGTACTGATACCTAATAATCCGGTATTAGCAACAGAAAAGACGTTGTCATTGACATTAATTTCCAGTATCGAACGAGAAATTTACATTCTCGTTACAAATTTGAATTTTGGAATGAAATATTTTAGAATTAGAAAAATATACTTGAAATAAAAATTGAAATCAAATAAACGGATAAGTAAAAGTATAGACCTCAAATTATAACATTTAATATTTATTTGGTATGAAAACGTGGAAAAGTGATAGATAAACTTACACCTTTACGGGAAGAGTGAGTATTTATTGATAAATAGCTTGAATTAGATAATTTAATAAATATTTTTGAAATTATTGAGAATTTTACGCCCAATATTTACAATTTCATTTTATTTTAGTCTTACCAGTATGAACAAGATGATGTTTTTGTAGATGAGCCAACTGAGTAAATTCTTTGAAACAAATGCTACATTTGAATGGCCGTTCGCCGGTGTGTGTTCGTAAATGTACCTTTAAATTTGATAGCTGCCCGAATGTTTTGTTACATTCTTTGCATTCATAGCGGGTTTTCCCATTAATTTGAGACTGAAATTTGATAATAAATTTTTTGTTTCAATCTCAAAATTCTAATTTTACTCAGAGAAAAAATATTTCATATTCATGGAAGTAAAAAAAAAGAAAAAAGGGAGAAATAAATTTTTAATTTTTTTACTAGCAAAGTGAAAAGAAATGTTTTATTCAGTTTTTTAATTCGCATTTATGAATTCTGAAGTGATCCAAAGTTTAGGTTTTTTAAATTTGTAAATTTTTCAATTTTTAATTTCAAAGAATTTAGAAATTATTAGAGAAATATGTACTTTTTGCATTGGATATGGTTGTCTGTTACGTAGATACGGTGAATTACTGGATGCAGCCTGGAAAGCAGTCGGAGAAGTGGCTAATGGCGGTGGTGGAATAGTCAAAGGAAGAAGAGGTTGAGGTTGGGCAGCGAAAAATGATGGTTTTGTAGGAGTGGTTGAAGGATAAAGCGTCCCAGCAAGTGTGGTACCAAACGGTGGACTTGCTGTTGCTGCAAACGCAGGTGCAGGTGAGCATGCAGGTGGTCGTCCAGGCGAACATGATCGTGCAATGTGTGGCGTTGCAGCAACACCATGGTTTGGTTGTGGTGGTACCCAAATTCCGCCTGTGGTAACACCTAAGGCCGAACTACGCCGCCAGAATTCATGTAATAGTGTATTGTATGGATTGAGAGTATTTGGTTGTAGTGGTGGTAATCCAGTTGCCACTTGTGGTACCGCATTGTGTGGGATTTTGGTTGCAACCGGACGATGTACAGGATTTTGGATTACATTAGGTCTTGTAATCCTTTGCTGTCTTTCGTTAGTGGCAAGCGGTGAAGTAGGTGATGATCTGAATGAATTGTAATAAATTGCTACATCATCTAACAGTTTTTAAAGAAAAAAAGGAGAAAGCCCCAAGCACATGGGATGCCAGAAGAAATACTCAAATCGTACCATGGATATCACTTCCAGATAATGATCAGGTATTTACTATATCATAAACCCCGCTTCTCTCTCACCCCTCTCCTTTCCCCAAATTTTATTCCCCGTCTTCGAAATTTCACGAAGTTGAACATACAATGTTGATGTAGAATTAATGCTCGATTCGCAATCATCACTGAGTAATTGTGTTAAATCGCTACCGGTCGAAGATGTAAACGGCGAATTAGCATCGGTGGGTCGTTTTGAGATGGTACTTGCGACTCCTACCGTTGACTCCTTGAAATATATATTTAATTAGTTTTAGTTTATTGGGAAAAACTCAAATAGTAGTAAACACATTCTAAATCAAAGAATAGATTATTTGTACTTTTATCACTTTTTTAGAGAGAAATCAAGAGCTTCTTGTGATGATGTTAGTTGTTGTTGTTGTTGTTGTTGTTGTTGTTGTGGTTGTTGTTGTTGTTGTTGTGGTTGTTGTTGTTGTTGTTGTTGTTGTTGTTGTTGTTGTTGTTGTTGTTGTTGTTGTTGTT